CCTGCAATTCGTGCATCTTTTTCAATGTTTGCAACATTGCTCTCGCTGTAGCTCCTTTTTCAAAAGGAGAAGATGGAAGAGATTAAAAATTAAAAAAAGATACTGTAGCTGCTCCCTTGATTTGCTGCTGGGAGATGGTAGATGCAGTGCAGGTGGTAGCAGACTGATCCAAGAACCAGTACAGTGGACCATTCTCCTCTTCCTAACCGAGGACGTTAGCGTAGTGTCTCGTTCCAGAACATTTTGAGGCCGAGACAACTGCAATCCGGACATTGACACCACCAACCGCTACAGATAGTTCCTGAGCTAGACGTTGACACTTTTTCCCCCTATTCAAAATTCACTTGATTCCAAGAGTTTTTCTACCACATTTTACTAGCTACCACCAAGGTTCACCTTTCCGATTGACCCCTGAAGGTGTGTACATGACTGTTTTTGACAATTTCAATCAAAGTTTGTCGGATTTCATTTCGAGCAAATTTACTGTTTCAAATTTAAATTCTTGAAGACCATTCGAAATTCCGGTTAGAATATACACCGTGTTTAGTTCAGAAGTTTTTCTTCAAACTTCCAACTTTTCCATCACATCAGAACTTTCCTGCACACACAAACTTTTAATTTTTCCTTCACATCGTTCAAATTTCAACCAAACCTCCAATTTTAGTGTGAATAAACACAGCCATATTATCCTTCTGCGTCGAGACCTCGAAATTTCACGGTTCTAGGCTGGCTTTCGTTGTAAACATGAATCCTGCCTACTACAAAACCTTACAAATCCAAACATCAGAACTGTGAAAGGTAAACATCATAAACATTGCAACTGTTTGGCTCATTCCATTTTCCAGTAAGAGTCCCAGAAGCTAACAAAAATAAAAATGTTACAGTGAGCAAAGCAAAACACCACAAATATTCAGAATCTTCAGAAACAGAGCAAGCCCACACATACACGCATGCACGGTTGCGCGCCATCAGCCAGCACGCATTATGACGGAGAATCTTTGCCTCTTCTTCGTTGACCCGACGACTCCGGGGCCGGTAAGACATTAGTAACTCTTCTGCTTTTGATTGGGTTTCTTCTCTTCTATTTCAGGGGCTCCCAAAATTTGGAGTGACACTTGCCTTTGGTTCTATTATGTGGAGCCCTTTTCTGCTTGGATTTGTCTCGCCTTAGTCACATGATGGGGTGCAATAATTCTGCCCACCACCCTGAAAAAAGTAACGGTGATCAAGTGTACAATTAACATTGTTCAATTGCACACCAAACCCCTAGCTCCTAATAGTAACACTTGGGGCCCTTTGGAAAAAGGAGGAGCTTCTGTGGGGTAGTGGGTAAAATAGTGTTGGAACCAAATTTATGTACTAGCAGTTTAGTGTGAATGATTGACCTCAGGTTTTTGGTTTGAAGTATGTACTGCAAAAATGTTTTTTTTTAACAGAGTCAGCTGGTGGTAAAAGTAAAAAAAAAAAAAAAAGATAATTGTGGAGTACTCAACTGAGGTGAGTATGTTATGGGGTGGCACTGATGAAGCACATTCCTCATGGTGCTTAGTAAAATATTTGCAGAGTGTTGTTTAAGTCAATATGCTGCTGGCTAGTGGTCTATAAGTACTCCCAATGTTTTTTTCTTTGACAAGTTCATGCCACAGTTTCGCAGCATGTGTAGATGTGGAAAAAGAAAAGAGAGGAAATTTTTAGAAATTGTAATATCCCATTAAAACATCTTTACTCCTTGTCAAACTGTAAATCCCTAAAGCACCAATCTTTGTGACTTGTGATGGACATATGACACAGGTAGGCGAGTATAGGTCCTAGTTAATCATAAAAGGGATGAACTAAAAAAAAAACACTGAACTCCTCAAGCAGCTAGCCAAATGAAAAACCGTTATCATCTTTTTTTTTTGGGGGGGTTGCAGGTATTCTGGACTTATTATGCATACTGGCACATCCAGTCCCAGGACCAAGCTAGCCATACACTACAGCAGTTTCAGCTAGTGACCTCACCAAGCAACAGCTAGTAGCTTTGACCTACTTGCAACAGCAGGCATCACAAAACACCAACTCGGATAGAACCAAAACCTCTCCTCAATTTGCCACATCTCATATACAGAGCAGTAACATAAATCAATCCAGACCTTGAGCCAAAAAGTCCAAACGAAAACGATCCAAACCACGTGACAGGAGTGAACTAAAAGTGTTAAAGTTGACTAAACAAAAAAACAAAAGCCCCTAATCCCATAGACCTAGCTGCCGACAATTTTCGAATTATGATCACTACTAGTAGTAGTATAAGTTCACTACAACCTGCAGTACTTACGTACTACAAACAGCGATTCCCATGAAGAACAAGCAACAAATCGATCGTATCGGCACGAAAAACAAAAGGGGACGAGGATCCTATCAAAAGAGAGAGAGAGAGAGAGAGGGAGGGAGAAAAGAAAGCAGAGGTTGAAGTAGAAGAAGCATAAAAGAAAGGAGATCAAGGAAGGAGGAGCAAGAGAAAGCAAAGCAGGAGAAGACGAACATAACGAATCACGAGAAAGCGGCCGTAACCAACCAACCACCTCTATCTTTTGCTTTCGTTGCTTCATTTGGACTTTGTACTCTCGGCATCTGCTCGCCTGTAACTCTTTTCGGTTTCCACTCTTATCTTAAGCTCACTGACCTCACACCCCAGCAAGTCGCCCCATATCAAACGCAGAAAGACGCACATATCGCACATACACAATTGCACAAGTAGCCATGATAAAACCAACGGCAGATTTCTTCTTTTTTAAAAAAAAATGGTAACTTCAGATCCGATAAAGAAAAACTAATTTTGTTGAAATACCATCAGTTAAATAGGATTCGTTAAAATGTCGCTCTGAACCAGGATGGCTTCGTCAGAATGCCATCCGAGATGATTTTGCAAGTCGAGGAGCTCACAAGTCGCAAGTCCCCGAGTTAAAACCGACCCCTTAACGGGTTCTACTTCGCGTATCAGCACAAGGCCCTGACCCTGCACATCCGCTGCCTCATCGGCAACGCCACCTTCTCTGCCACATGCCTCGTCTCGGTCTTCCACATGCTCACATTCCGCCGGTGAGCTCCTCCAACACTTGGAGGAGAAGTGCTAGGGGCAATATTGTCCCAGATGATATTTCGACGAAGCCATCCTAGTTGTGTGGTATTTTAACGAAGCCCATTTGAATGATACTCCCTCCATCTACTTTTGATAGGCATATTTCTAAATCTGAAAAAATTACTTTTGATAGACATATTTCAATCCAACCATCTATCCTCTTAATGACTTTCTCGGATTTAATGCGTGACTCTCTATTCTTCCACACAAGATTGGCTACATGAGCATCGAGAAATGTAAATATTAATGAATCGCTTGTTTACGAGAAATAACTAGTAGCATGCTTAAATGGATGATAAGTAAAATTACTTATCTTTGGTCATTGTGTCAAGATAAGATATTACTATCAAAAAGTAGATGGAGGGAGTAGTTTTTAGGTAGTCCAATTTTATGTGATGGCATAATCACAGTTTTCTCCAAATGTCGGGTGGCTGCCTAGGCTATTCGGTGTGCAACTTTTTTTTTTAACGAAATCGATGTGCAAAACAGATACCAATTGCTTTGTTAAAATTTAGAATAGCAGTGGAATAATCGCGGCATCCCTTGTTAGAAATACCAATGCTAAAGAAACTCTTGGATCCACTGGTATCACATTCTCTTTGATAATAGAAATGGTTTACTTGCATTGTTTTATTTTAATGGGAACTCATCGAGCCTCTACAATCACACAAAAATACAGGTCAACCATAGTTGTGGTATTGCACAGAGTACAGTTTTTCAGATCGAATTACACCTCTAAATCTAAAAATCATACATTTTTCACCCCAAATATACAAACCGGATAAATAACCCCCTTGGCTCAATCGCCGGTGGTTTTGATTCTACGTGGCAGTCCAGTCAACATTTTTTTTAAAAGACGGGCCCCACATGGTAGTTTTTTCACCATCTCTATCTCTCTCTCTCTTTCCCAACTCTCTCTCTTCTCCCTCCCCTCACCTCCATCTCCACCACCGGAGGCGAGCTGAGGGCGGCGGTGACCGGGGGTGGGAGCCAGTTGGGGGTGGTGGAGGGAGACCGAGGACTGCTGCAATCGGCGACGGAGGCGTGGCCGACCGGGCGCGCGGTGGGCGGCGGGTAGCAAGCCGACGGCGACTTATCTGCGCGCGGGCGGGCAGCGGCTAGGCGGCGCAACGGGCGGTGGCTAAGGCGGCGGCCGGTGCCAAAATCTCGCGCAATCGCGTCGCACCGTCCAAGAGCCGCACGAGCCGATGAGCGCCATCGCTCGCTCGACAACCGATTCCCCCTCCCTGCCGCTCCCGCCACCGCTCGCCCAGCTGCGCCCGTCGTAGCTCTCCGCTCGCCGACGAGCGATTCCCCCTCCCTGCCGCTCCCGCCACCGCTCGCCCAGCCGCGCCCGTCGCCGCTCTCCGCTCGCCGACGAGCGATTCCCCCTCCCTGCCACTCCCGCCACCCCTCGCCCAGCTGTGCCCGTCGCCGCTCGCCACCGACCAGTTCCAATCCTTGCCACGCCCACCGCAGACCAAAGCCGCGCGTGTAGCCGCTCGCGTTCAAGTTCCAACGCCAACAGCACACACAGATAGAAATATGACTTGTGGGCCCTATATTTTCTTTATTTTTATTTTTTGCTGATTGAATTTTCACGTTAGTGCCACATGTATGTCACGTAGGATCAAAACCGCTCCAGATTAAGTGAGGGGGGTAATTTATCCGGTTTCAATAGATTGAGGTTTAATATGTCTGTTTTGTGGTTCGCGGGGAGGGGGGATTCATACTATCACAATAGTTAGGGGGTAATTTATACTTTTTTCCGTTCAATAATCATAGTAAAAAGGTTTTATCCCAATTGGAATTTAGAAGAAGAAAAGTCGGTTTCCAAATAGGAACAAGTATAAACTAGGGTGTAGGGGTGGACTTGACACGCGGGCCTGCAGCTCGGGCGCTTTCGCTTTTGAGGACTCTTCGAAAAGCCCTCCTATTTAAGCAGCAGGCCTCGCCCACTCTATCGTCTCGTCTCGTCTCTCCTCACTCCACTCGACTCCTCACTCATCCTACTCGGCAACTCACTCTGCTCTGCTGCACTGCAACGCCATGGAGGCAGCAGCCCAAGAAAGGGAGCTGCAGCTGCTGCAGCTGCAGGGAGTGTCCTGGCCTTTCCACGCGATGGAGGCAGCGAGAAGCAGCAGCTGGGACGCCACCACCAGCAGCGGCAGCAGCAGCGGCGCCAGCGGCGGCGGCGGCGGCGATTGCTTCCTGCTCGGTTGGGAGCCGCCGTTCGCCGCCGGCTGCCTCGGCGTCCTCGCCGCCGACGTCCACGGCCTCTTCCCACTCTGTACGTGCCCTGCTCGCTTTCTTTACCTATGTTCAAGCCTTCGAATTGGTGAATTAATCCGTGCACCGGCTTGGAGTGCAGACATGGAGTCGCCGCCGGCGCCGCCGCAGCAGGACGCGGTGGCATTGCCGGAGGAGCTCGACGACCTTCTCCTGGTAGTAATCTCGCACGAGACAAGAGCAAAGGCAACAGTTTCTTGCAGATTTTCGTGAGGGCCTACGCTAATCTGCTTCTCCTGCAGAATTTCTGGGACGCAAGCAGCGACCAGCAGCAACAACAACAACAGGTCGCCTTCAATTCCAGCTGCATCCTGCAGGAGAAGACGAGCAGCACCACTGCCACTGCAACCACCACCAACTCCAACTCCAACTTCTTCTACGGTGAGAAGAAGAGTTTGAAATTAAAATCTTTTACGCCTTTTTTCGCCTACAAAACCACCAGCTTTTGCCACGACACGCGCAGAGCAGCAGCAATCCTCTGCGTTTTTTAGGTCCTCCATGACCTCGCACCACCAAAGGACAGAACACGAAGTCGTATAGTAATATTTTTTGTGTCATCAAATTGTGATTCTGTCAATGGCGATGGGACCCGCGGGGAAGATTAGCAGCACGTAGTTGTTGTCACGACCCCCATGATTTGTGCATGATCGATGCATCATTAGATTATAGTAGTGTATAGAATAGTGATGAGTTATGAGTATATAGTATTATAGCAGAGGATGCATTTGATGGCATGATGCGTCTGACCTTGTTAGGAACTGTCAGTGGCGCTTCTTTTCAAGTAAAGACAGATCTGGGTTTTACGTGGTTAGACACTACCCAGATTCTGCTAATCTTCTTCGTTACTGCTCTTGTTAACGTTGAGCCTTTACGTGATTAGTAGTAGGTGATTAGTTTACTATACTTGAGTAGGAGTAGATTATTAATAAGTGGTGTCTTGTCATCTTTTGCTTGCAGACGACGATGATCTCCTGGGCTCGATTTTCTCGACGGGTCCCACATTGCCAGAGAAAGGCGTGGCAGAGCCACTACTCAGCAGCTCATCCTCCAACTGCCAGGCGGACCCACAGGTCAGTGAGGTTAGTGGGGCCCAGCCGCAGGCCACTCCGGCCGCGCCAGGTGTCGCGCGGGCCCCACCTCGCTGCTCCTCCTCCTCGTCGCTGAAGCGCGCCGCGCCGGCGGAGGACGCGGCGGCGGAGGCGGAGTACTGCAGACAGAGCAGCAGCAAGCGGCGAAGGGAGGCGGAGACGCCGACGCCGGAGAAGTCGGCGGCGGCGGCGGCGGCGCCGGCGTGCAGGGTGCTGCGCCCGTTCGCGGTGCTGAAGCCGGACGGGCTGGACGGCGGCGCGACGCTGGCGGACATCAACGCGCGGATCCTGATGCGGCCGTCGCGGCCGGTGCGCCACCCCGTCGGCGAGTTCGCGTGCGCGCCGCGCGTGTCGGCGGACAAGCCGGGGCTCTCCGGCAAGGCCGTCGCCGGCTTCACCAGGCTGCACACCCCGGGACGCGGCACCATCACCATCATACGAACCAGAGGCTAGAACACGATGATTAGCTGACGACGAAGACGAAGACGATGTAGATTAGCCTAGCTTAGGTAGCAATCAAACTGGCTAGAACACTCTCTAGCTAGCTACTTCCTACTCCCCCTCCCCGATCGAGCTTAATTAATTGATTCCCATGCCGTGTAAATTACATGTGCCCGATTATATATATCGAGCCAGAAATAAAAATCTCAATCTTTTTTTTTTTTTGCATAAAATTCTCATCTTTGGTTCAGGGCCTCCAATGGGAAAGGCATTTCCATTGGATCGCTACCGCGAAGCTAATATTCCCTCCGTTTTAGGTTATAAGAGACGTTTTGATTTTGGTCAAAGTTAAAATGCTTCAATTTTTTTCAAGTTTGTAGAGAAAAATAATAATATTTTCAACTCAACACAAATTTATTATGAAAATATATTCAATTATTGATTTAATAAAACTAATTTGGTATTATAAATATTACTATATTTATGTATAAATTTAGTTAAATTTGAAATAGTTTGACTTTTATCAAAATCAAAACGTTTTCTAACCTGAAACGGAGGGAATAAGCACCAGCGGACAAAGCTGTCTGGTGCCTCCTGTTCTTGTGCTCCTATCCCCATAGACAAACAGGTGGTGTTACGGCTGCTTAAAATTCCAGAAAGCTGAAAGCTGCTGGCTTTCCTTTTGTCTGCACCACCAGCGTGGCCCTGCCTCCTCTCCTCTTCATTCCAGCCATGGCTCACACAGAGACACAGAGACAAGATGTTCTTTTTTTATTTATTTTGGACTCAACCACTACTGCAATTATTTCTGGCGAGGTGAGATCGATGTATATGGAGATTGTTGCATTGCAAAAAAGCTAGCCTGCCTCATCCCTGCATGTGAACCGTATCAGGTCCACGCATACAAATGGCTCATGTACATGTATGGATGTATGTGCCTCTTGTTCTTTTGTTTCAAACACTGCTCGGCAAAGAGAATATACGAAGGGAGTAAAGACAGGGTAGAGCAGGACAGAACAAAATCACCAAAGCTTAAGGTGAGGAGAAGGATTAAAGAAAGAGAAGAGTAAGATGAATTTGGTTGAGGAAAGAAAAATAAAGGAGCAAGGGGATCGAGCATCTGGTGCTCGCTGAAACTAAAGCAAAGTGCAATGGCTTCATCATTGTGGCCACACAAAAGCAAAGCAAAGCGTGGCTGCTGGACACTGTAGACCATACGGCAAAAATACTCAACCTTGAAACAGAGAGCTAGCCTGCATAAGAGAGAAACAGAGAGAGGTGAGTGATTCTGTATCCCGTTCTGTCATTCAGATGTAGATCGATCGAGTGGCTGGCTGGCCGGATAGCTCTGATGCAGAATAAGGACGCGATACACAAGAACTTGGAACGAATGATGGTGGTGATGATGATGAAAAATGCAGAGCAAGTCAACACAGCGTGAGTATATTCTGCATAATGTGTTAGTTCATGGAATTCTGCAGACTAGTAGTAGTAGTACGTTTCAGACGGTTTCTGTCAAAAATATTTGGACGTCAGGTAGCATGAATGGAGTGAGCTCATGAGCAGCTGTGGTCAAAGCTGTTCGTGGTTGTCAAATTCATGACATCAAAATCTCTGTAAATACTTGTGGGGGCAGTAGTTACACATGTTAGGTCAGGCGTGTGTCTGCTTGAATTAAAGGGTGCAAGCAAGGCAAGGTGAAAGGAGATAATTGCCCAGTGGAAAATTGTTGGAGGCTTTATTTTATCTGAAATTCTTAAATCCATGTGAGTTGAATAATTTTACCTTTCGTGGTCAAAACTACTTGTCAACATGAATTTTTTTCCTCAACATTTTTTTTCTTTCTGGAAGTAAATTTGAAAATTGAAGTATATGTGCATGTAATTTTTTGAATGGCATTGGTTCTAAACTCAAAATATTTGTACTACTATGAATTGCTATTAAGGTACTCGTGAACTCCACCTAGCCAAGACACCTTCTTGTGTTAATTCCCTCCAGCAAAAACAATTAAGGGACTCGTGATCTCGTGTGTGAATGGTAGGTCAGTGGCGTGGAGAACATTATGAGTTATGATTTGGTCCCTATGTTTGGTAGAGCACGCACACAAGTACACACTTGTACTAGTTAGTGATGCGCCTACAAATTGGTCTTTCTTGCTGAAAGAGAAAAAAAAAAACTATATGCATATACAATGCAAACCAACCAACTTTGCTAATTAAACCGCACGAGTCACTTCAGTTACCCCTGGATTTTCGCTCGGTTTTGATTTGAAACTGTCAAGTGTTCAGTTGAAAATTGCCTCAAGTTCTATTTGAAACCTTGTATTCCCCCCAATTTCTAAGTGACAAAAAATTAGATGAAAATGGCTTTGATTTTGAACTGATCGAGAGTGATGAATCTAAAACGTTTAAAGGTAGTAAGAGATCAATTTGGCAAGAAAGATGCTGCAATTTGTGGTTAAAACCTTGGTGAGGTACTGAGGTATCTGCAGGAGAGCTAATTACAGCATGTTATCTAGTGCTTTTATATAGGTGAAACTGCTCCATATGCATGTAACGAGTGAATTAAATTCCGAAATGCAAATCATGAACGTCTGGTTCAAGCTTTGAAATTAATTCAACATTGTTACATGCATGGGGCTAACAGCTACTCCGTCCCATGCTTCTAAAGAAAGAAGCCCAGGCCAGCTAGAACTGACACGCCAATCAGTGCATGCACCTAAAAATCATACGGATTTGCCTTTTAGGTTCGATCCAACACAACCGTAGACTGTTTCGGTTTTGAAAGATGGTGACACTGACATCATATGCATGGCACACCAAAGGGAGGGAAAAAAAAGAAAAAATGCAAGTTAAAATATATTCAGTGCATTGCATGCATGCATACTACACATGTATTACTGCCTCTGACAGGTCGGTCACTAGCGTCATCAGCAGGCCAGAAATTTGTACCGTTTCTAAACGACGCATGCATGTGCATACAAAATAATTTGCAAATGCAATGCAGCGGTGGTACGCCTCAATATACTCCCTCTATTTTTAATAGATGACGCCGTTGACTTTTTCTCACATGTTTGACCATTCGTCTTATTCAAAAAATTTACGTAATTATAATTTATTTTGTTATGAATTGTTTTATCACTCATAGTCCTTTAAGTGTGATTTATATCTTATACATTTGCATAAAATTTTTGAATAAGACGAATGGTCAAACATGTGAGAAAAAGTTAACAGCGTCATCTATTAAAAAACAGAGGTAGCATATCACAATATAAATGCAGGGTACAAAACAATCTAGCAGCAAATCTGTTGATCAGAGATAATCAGATAGGCCACTATATTATCCTATCATCTCTGGCCTTGGCTCCCATCTTTCGCACGCAAGTCAAAACATGATTACTTTTTTTCATCTCAACACGGATGATCTGATCGATGCCTAGCTACTGCGCTTTGAAACGGCGTGTGTCAATCATTGCCTACAAGCTTCCCACGGCAAGCAGACAAGGAGGAGGAGAAGAAACGAAGAAATGACAGAGGTCAAAATCTTTCAGGGAAGCAGCAGGCAGTGGCTGTCAAGTGTCAACCGGTGACAGACACACGAGAGCTAGCCGTCGCGAGTCAACAGTTTTTTGTTTCTTCTCTTCGAAACTACCAAATCAACTCATCTTTTAAAAGCTATATCTAAATTTAGTGTTTAAAAGTTGTATTTTTCTGAAACGCATGCAAGGAGAAATGTGTAGTGCATGGACACACTAACAGCTCTCGATCGATCAGTCATCAATGGCATGAACTCACAACGAAATGGCGGCAAGTATGCAGACAGGAGAGGAGGAGATCGAATTGTATAGGATTGGCCTGGCTGCATATGTTTGCATGGAATTAGGTAGTGGGTCGGTTTGGCCGGTATGGTTCATGCGAACTATGAATGCGTCTGCGGCCGTACGTACAGGGTACAGATTGGATCGCGGCAACATATGGGTGGACGAATTGGATACATTGGCCAATCATCATATCACAACATGCATTGGTGGAGGCCACTGTTGCAGCGTCGCTTGCTTGCTTGCACGTGTATTTACTTCTCGTGACAACATTTGCGACGCAGCCTACTCAGTTTGGTGGCGACGACGAAGTAATTTCACCGATCGATCAATCGAGAGCAATATTGCAGATGGATGCCCACAGATGGACAGATCTGTTCACTTTTTTCATTTTACTTTGCAGATCGAGAGATCAATCAGCTGGTGTGATCGCCATGGATTCTCAATTTATCATGGCGAAACTTTTTCTGGTGCTCAGGGCGGCACGCATATGAATGCGACGTACGCGATCAAACAACAACATTCAACAATATCGTTGAGCGAGAAATTAAAAATGCATCATTGCTCGCGGGGAACAGGAGTACCCTGCACAAGTAGTGCGGTGCATGCGGTGCACGTACCCACGCGCACAGAGGAAGGCGGTCGATCGATTCATCATCGATCGGACGGACCAGGTGGTCCATGTCATGAGGTAATAGTTTGAACCTTGACAAGGAGGCGTGGTATAAATGCCCTGATTTTTGATCCTGCAAAAGCAAAATGCCCGAAATATAATCAAGTGGTATTTTTGTAACTTTTTAGGGGATTGTGAGTACAATTAAGTGATTTTTTTTATATTTTTAAAAACAAAATACAAACACATGCACACCCACCTTTATGGATACACGTGTGTATACCTTATCACTTTGAGCATCTCTAAAAGATTGGGATGATATATATATATATATATATATATATTAAGATTGACAAATTCACCACAAGTATTTTGTTGGGTACATAGCCCACTACGAAAAAAATAGTTAGCCTAAATATGAATACTCATGCTATGTTTAGAATTTAAACCCGAGTACGTGAGCATATCCTACCACAAGAAACATAACCAATTAAATAACATGTACTCTGCTATTTTTTTCTTCTTTCTTGAGAACTTGTAGTAACTCTTATTTAAAAAAATGTAGTAGCTCTTACAATAAAAATGGTTGTTTTATGTTTCCTTACACTTATTGTGCTTAAGTTTAATATTAGGTCATGTTTAGGGGCGAGATATTCTTAGAACTACATGGTGAGTAGCTAGCGAGAAAGGTTAGGTTTCCCAGCTTTTCAACTTACACAGGTAATTCATTTTCTAGATTCTACAACTATTGATTCTTAAAATTTGAGTGAATTTGGAGAGCCCAAGATGCTACGAGAAGTTGTAGGC